GTGGAGGGGGTGAAGGGAGGGCAGGGGAAGGGGAAAAAAAAAAAGAACCAAGATACTCATGTAATGGTACAAGATCCTAATGATGAATGTAACTGTATTTTATACCTAAAATGTACCAATAAACTTAATGGGGAAAAAAATAAACAAAAAAAAGAAGAGTATTGTGTTCTCCCATGCCCAAGGATGAAAATGTCTTCCTGTTGTTGTTGCTGTCGTCGTCGTCTTGTTTCGTTTTGTTCTTTTGGAAAGAGCATGGGATGGTGGTGGTGAGTCTTCGACTTGGCCTTGGACTGGTTGGATGTAAGCACCACCTGCTCCGCCACTGAACAGCTGCGGCCCTGGGAAGATTCACGATTAGAGTTGGAAGTTTCTTCCTCCCAACTAGCTCCCTTCCTGGAGGTGGACCCAGACCGAAACTTGGTGATAACACTCAAGATGAAAGACCGGTTAGAGATTTGTTTCAACAGAAACTGAGACAGGAGCTAAGCAAAAGTGTAATGCACCTGTCTCCTGTCCCAGCCAGGGAGCAGGCTGATGGCAGTAGATGTATAACAACCTGACGTCCTGCCCCTAGTGGGAGGAGGGGCAGGTGTGGTCAAGGAAGCAGAGGTTTCCAAGGGATCAAGAGGCCATGGGGACAGAGCATGAGGGAGGATACATCTCCAAATGGCCTTGGCCAGTCAGCTCTCCCTCCCACTCTTAGCTCTCAGGGTAACTGCAGGAGGGACCCAGGCCTCTTGCTGAGATAAGAGGGACTCGTCAGGGAGGCCCAGGCTCTGCACTTATCCTCCCTAGGACCGGATATTCAGCAGCACTTATGCCCAGCCACCCAGCTATCCCCGGGTACGAGGCCCAAGGCACTGTGCAGTCCTGGCCGCTTAGCCAGGTCAAAGAGGCGGGCACCTGACCCATCCTGGACCCCAGGCTTCTGTTTATTTTAGAGGCTTATCTATGAGTTATGAAGTTCATTTGTAGGATGTGTGCAACTGTTCTGTCTCAGTGGACCCTGCAGCTGGGCTTATGCAAAGCTTCCTGTCTGACCTATGATACTAAGCAGAATTTAGCAAGATGCCCAGAGCCCTCCCCCGGGAGTGATCCAGGTACACAGTGTTCTGCTTCACGGAAAGAACATTTCAAGTGGGAAGGGCTTCCGGCAATTGCAAGGAGGTCCATGGAGCTGAGAGGCAGGCTGAAAGCAACAGATTTTCTGCAACTTCCAGGACAGTATGTCTGAACTAAAAGCAAAAGTGTTTTTTACTTTTCTGGACTCTGTGAGCATGGTGAGAAGGCAGAGAGGTTTGGGGCCAAACAGACTCTTTCTGGAACATCTCTTTCACTTGTGGGAAGTAACCAAGGTCTTGCAAGAATTTCATCAAGTTCTGAGAGTGGCACCCGGGATGCCCTAACCACTTGCTACTAGGCCTCACCTCTTGAGAGTTCTTCAACCTCAACACCCCACGCCAGGGGTCAAGCTTCCAGCACAGGAGTCTCAGAGGTGGGGTCCACTCAGACCATATCCAGACCACAGCCTGTGTCTCACAGGCTAAGAATAGTTCATGAGTTTGCAAAAGATTTGCAGGGAGAAGACGGAGGAGGAAGAGGAGAAGACAGGAAGAGGAGGGGAAGGAGGGGTAGTTGGTAGAGGAAAAAGGCAGGGAGAAGGGGAGACACCACACATGGCCCTTAGGGGCCAGCATCCTGACTTTACAGCACTCTGGGTCACGAGCCTCCCCATTCCATCACAGGACCTGTTATCAAACTGCAGAGGCAGTGTCACCCGCAGAGCAGAGTCCTTGCTTGTGTTCTTCATTCCTGGCTGCCCAGGACCAGGATCATGCCTGGCACATGGAACACTCTGTAAGCATCCATAGACTAAAGGAAGGGACAAATGGATGATGTCTAGGAAAGCACTAGGTAGCCCATGCAGTCTACGTGTAGCACAGACAAAAGTAAAAACTATCTTGAAGGCCATGCATCTTATTCTGGAGAGGAAGCTGGGTGCCACCCTGGGACAAGGCCCTGGATGTGGAAACATTTTATGAAAATGCAAAACAAATATGCACCTAGGAGCCAGAAGCAGGAGGAAATCCAAATGCAGAAATGCAGGCAGAGAGGGCTGCTCCCAGCCTTCAAGAATATTCTCCCATTGGAGTCCAGGGCACCCACCCTATTTCTAAGCTTCACAAAAGGAAGCACAAAGGAAATTAGGGGCACACTGGTACCTGCAGGGATGTCCATGGGCTTGAGGAAGAGCGCCATGCGAGTTGACAGTCTTGCCTTACTGAGTGTTCCTGCAGCAGCACCCTGGGGCCATGAGGAGAACAAATTCTTGCAGTCCAAGCTGGAGCACACCCCGCACTGTTCCCACAAGATTGGGGCGGAGCTGAAAACTCTCTGTTGTCTGGTAATGTTGCAGCCATCACAGCACAGCCCAGCTTATTTCTCATGACAAAGGGAGCTGCTGGTGTGTGAACCGATGGAAGTACATTGCATAGAATTATGTACCCTGTGTGATCCGTTTCTTTGTTACAAGTACTTGGGATTGAACTCAGAGCCTGTCCAATGAGCCACATCCAGCCATTTGTTTTATTATTCTATTTTTGAGACAGGGTCTTGCTAAGTTGGCCAAGTTGGGCTCAAACTTTTGATCCTCCTGCCTCAGCTTCCCAGAGTGCTGGGATTACAGGCATGCACCTCCAGACCTGGCTCAGTACAGAATCCCGACAGTGACTCGGTCCCTGGCTCACATACCTACTGCACTATACTTCTTGTCATTATCTGAGAGTGCTTGTCTGTTCATTAAAATTTTCTGTAAACAGCAAGTTGTGTTAGATGAGCAGCAGCCTCCCATCCAGAGGCCACGATGAGAGGCTGGACCAGACCAGCTGGGTTTGTGACAGTGCAGCCCGTGATGCATACACAACAAAACCCCGAAATGGCACACTTCTCAGACTTCGTCCCTGTCGGGAAGCAACACGACATGTCTAATCTACCTGTCAGGGAAACATCCTGATCTGCATCTTCAACTGGGGAGAGGGAGGACTGGAATTCCCAGGGGTTTGCCTCCAGGGAGGTGAGCAGTAGCCTCAGGATTCCAGCCAGGCCTTCTTCAGGCCAAAGCTCAAAACACCTCAAGGCCAGCGGTTTGCAAAATTGTTTTCTGCAGAACCGCAAGAGTTCCAAGGTTTCTCGGGGCCTGTCATAGATGGGGGCTGTCACTATGAGCAATGCAGGGGAAGCTTTTACCTAGGAGCCCAAGATAGGCCCAAGATTCAGTAAGAGAAAGATCTGGGGAACCTGAAGGCCAGGGAGGAAGGACAGCCAGTTCTTGGGCGAGAAACAGCAGAATGGGGGTCAGGGCAGAGGAGGCGCTTGGAGACCAGGGCCCCACAGCCAGAGTGCTCTAGGTAAGCTCCTTTGCCCCTGCTCTGGGGTCACCTGCGGACAGGGGCAGGGCCCTGAGCCACCCCACCCAAGGGTGCTCAAGACAAAAAACAGAGCCTTGTATTTGTAAAAATATATCTGAGTTTGCATAGAGATTTATATTGTGCCCACAGAAATATAAAACGTGACCTAGAAATATACCATAATGCTAGCTAGGGCACTCTCTTCCATCATAAACATGGGGGGAATGTTCTCAAAGTTTTTCTTTAATTTTCTGAGTTTTTTCAGGTCAAGGAGCATCTCATCATAGAAAACAAACTAATGAGACAAAGTGGTTTTGTTGCTATTAAGGGAGGGGATTTCCCCAACATTAGGTGGTTCCAGGAGACAAATAAGTCCCTGTTACCAGAAACTGTCCCTATTACGAGAAACTGGGCCATTCTGGCCAGGACAGAAGGCTGGTTGTCCTGGCTGCTCTTCCAGAGCAGGGGGAGGAGCCTGCAGGGATAAATAGGCGGCCGCAGCTCCAGAGAATCCAGCACTCCAAGTCAGCTCCTGAACTGTGATCTGCATGCAGCTCTCCGCACAGGGCAGGTAATCCTGGGCCTTCTGGCTAGAACAGGGTGGCAGGACACTTTCAGAATACGGAATGTGTGGGCCAGCTGGCGGGAGGCAGCCCGGAGCTGGGGCTCTATGCGCTGGCTCTGGAGTCAGGGGACAGCTCCGGGGCCTCTGTCTTCTCTGGATCTATGTCCCCACTTCTGCAAAGGATGGAGGTATCATGGGGACACTTGTGGATTCTGAACAGAGCCAGCTGTGCATGTGGCCCTAGGAGGGGGGTGGTGCCCTTGCTGGGCTTTGAGCCACTGTCAGATCGGGTATGGATGTGATTCCAGGCTACCTGGAGTACTTCGCTTCCCCAAGGCCAAGGCCCCTGGCCAAGCAGAGAGACAAGCTGTGTGTCTCTCCTGGCCTCCCTCATGCTCAATTATTTCTCTAGAAATAATTGTGGGGGAAAACATTGTTCATGCTTTTCCAAAGAAACGGTCGCATCAGCCTGAGCGTAAACAAGCAGTGAAGGCCACAATGCTCCGCGGTCCCGGGCTGCTGTCCCCTCCATTGCCCTGGGTCAGGGGCTCCACACCACGGCCAGCCATCCTTTCGTCCCCTGCTCCCCGCCCCTGCCCTCTCCTCAGAGCCCCCCTCTGCCCTCCTCCCCACCCTCCAGCCTTCTATCCCCCTCATAGGCTGGGCCAGAGTGGGCTGGTGCGGAGGTGAACAACCCAGTGTGCTGCAGTCACGGGGCTTTGGACTCCATCCCTTTGACCCCTGTCTCTTGGCCCGGGGACCATGGGAGGAGTGGCCCAGTGACCACCAGGCACCTCAGGGACGGGGGACTGAGGCCCGGGGAGATGTGGACTCCCCTGCAGGTCTTGGAGACTCTGGTGCCCACTGGGCTTTCTCCCCACCAGGCCGCCCAGGCCGCCGTCTGTGCAGCGCCTCTTCCAGGGCTGGGGCTCCGGCCTTGCACGCCCACTCAGCTAACCTCGTGGTCCAGGGCGCTGGCCTTGTCACCCCGAGGTGGAGAGGCACCCTGCGCTCTGGCCCAGGCCCCCTACTGGGGTTCTGCCTCGAATGTAGATGGGGGGCACACAAAGCAAGAGGGTCCCTGCTGTCTAAGCCTTCTGCCTGGGCTCTGCCCACTGCGCAGGAGGGAGGCAGCGTTCGGACTGGGCACAGTGTGTGCCTGCGCCCAGCTCCTTCCTTGCTTGCTGTGTGGCTTTGGGCACATCCCTTCACCTCTCTGTGCCATTTCCCCACTGGGTAGAGCGCTCGCCTCCAAGGGTGAGGGGAAGCACAGGGTGTAATAATGCACGCTGGGGGCCCGGACTGTGCGTACCCGTACCCATTGGAAGTCACAGACCCAGCAAGGGCACAGGAGGAGGCAGCGCAAGGCCCTCGGGGCACTGCCCAGTCCTCCCCACTCAGACCATCTTTGTTCTTCAGAGTGGAGACGATGTCGCTCCTCCTGGCTCTGGGGCTCTTGGTGGCTGGCTTCTGCCCTGCCATCTTCTGCCACCCAGGGGGCCCAGCAGCCCGGGAGACTGTCCCCGAGGACAGAGACAACGGGATGCATGTGGACCACCTCCGACTGGCCTCCAGCAACGCCGACTTTGCCTTCAGCCTCTATAAGCAGCTGGCTTTGAAAGCTCAGAACAAGAATATCCTCTTCTCCCCCATGAGTGTCTCCACCGCGCTGGCCTTTGTGTCCCTGGGGGCCCGCAACACCACGTTGACAGAGATCCTCCAAGGCCTCAAGTTCAACCTCACGGAGACCCCTGAGGCAGAAATCCACCGGAGCTTCCAGCATGTCCTGCGCACTCTCCAGCGGCCCGATGACCGGCTGCAGCTTAGCATAGGCAACGCCCTGTTCATCCACGACCAGCTGAAGCTGTTGTCCAAGTTCACGGAGGATGCCCGGGGCCTGTATGCAGCTGAGACCATCACCACCAACTTCCAGGACCCCACAGCTGCCGAGAGGCTCATCAACGACTTCGTGAAGAAGGAGACCCAGGGGAAGATCTCGGAGCTGGTGCAGGACCTAGGCTCGACGACCATGATGGTTCTGGTGAACTACATCTTCTTTAAAGGTGATGGGTCAGACAGGGCCCAGGGTCAGAAGGAAGCGGGGTTTTTGCTCTGAGCCTTTGGAGCTGTTTCTGTCCTGGTGCTGTGAACTGTTCTGAGAGGGAGGCGCCCTCCATCTGGGGGCCATGGGTGGCAGCCCCTGCCCTGCCCGTGGGGGTCGTCCTCCCTCATAGAGTTTGTCCGAATTATAGCTGAGGTTCTGCAACACACCTTAGGGCATGCACTCAGCCTGTGTCTAAGCGCTGCTTTTTATTCACACAAAGGGAAGGAGCTCTCCTTTCAAACCCCTCCAGCTGGGTGGGGACTGCAGCCTTATCTGCAGGTGGGAAGGCCGGGACATGACCCACCCAGAGCCCGTGTGCAGGGCACCCAAGTCCAGAAATTGAGAGTGGGTCCCCGGCCCCAGTACTGATGTATTGGGACTGGGGTGGAACCCTGGAGGCCAGGTCTGGGATAGCCCGGGGCAGAAGGAGGGCAGGGTCTTTGATCATAGGCAGAAATCCAAGGCAGCCAGCAGGAGAGAAGGGCAGAGGAGGACACAGGCTGGGGGAGGGCAGGGCCAAAGCAGGGAAGGCCGGGGACCCTCTCTCTACTGGCCATGGGACACAAGCTCTAAGCTGCGAGGCAGAGACGTGTGCCAAGGCTGCTGGATCCTGAGTCCAAGAAATGGCCACAATTCTGGTCCCTCTGATGGGGTGGGGTTGGGGGTAGGGACCATAGGCTCCCGCAGAGGGCAGGTCTGAGCTGACGTCCATGGTCCATAGGGGCAAACGTGGCCCACATGTGGGCCAAGGACTGGGGCCAGCTCTTCTTAGATCGTGGCTTTGGGGCACATCCAACACCCCTCGCCCTAAGACATCACCAGTGCCCAGTCCTGATCCGGGGCTGCTCTGCCTCTGGGCTCGGCCTTCCATGAGGACCATCCTCACCCATGGCTCATGCTGAAGGGCTTTCCCCTTGTTGCCCTCCCCACTAGGTAAGGGCAAGTCCAGCTCCCTCCTCCCACTCCCAGCCTGGTGCTCCCAAAGCCCTCACAGGGGAGCAGAGGATCTGTGGTGCAGAGGCTGATCCCCTCTATGGACCCAGGGGCTCCCCATTTCTCCCTGCCCCCAGCTTCCCTGTTCTCTTGCCTCACCCCCCTCACCCCCTTTCCCGTGCTTTCCCCTTCGAACCAGGGACCAGGTCTTCCTTTCCCGGCTCCCTTCCCAAGCTGGACTTCCAGCCTCTTCTTAGCTCCAGCAGCTTTTCCCCTGCTGAGGTTTTTTCCAAGCCCCAGCCAGCACCCTGGGAGCTGTCACTGCTCAGGAACCTGGCAGAGCTGGGTCCGGCGGGGCCACCCTGGTACTCACAGGGCTCTCCCACTACATGCTGCCCCCTCAGCCAAGTGGAAGATGCCCTTTGACCCCCGTGACACCTTCGAGTCAAGTTTCTACCTGAATAAGAGGGAGGAGGTGCAGGTGCCCATGATGAGCCTGGAGGGCCAGCACATCCCCTACTTCCGGGACGAGGAGCTGTCCTGCACCGTGGTGGAGCTGCCCTACACAGGCAACGCCAGTGCGCTCCTCATCCTCCCCGACAAGGGCAAGATGCGCTCGGTGGAGGCTGCGCTGCTCCCGGAGTCGCTGAGGCGGTGGCGAGACTCCCTGCAGCCCAGGTGCGGATGCCTCAGCCCCTGAGCCCTCCTCCTGCACCTCGGGTCTCCCCAGGGTCCAGGGCACGGTGGAGGGAGAAGAGGGGCAGGCACAGGGGAAGGTCGGGTTGTTCTGCCCTTGGCTGTCCACATGGCTTTGGTCTTGATTTCGTCCCTAATAAGATGACGCATCAGGTAGAACAGGGGCCGAGGCGTCTTCGGCACAGCCCCAGCACACTGAGTGGTTCCTCCTGCCTCAGCCCCTTGGAGGCAGAGGGAGACAGAAAGGAGTGTGAGTAGCTGCGGGTGGGTGAGAGAGACTGCGAGGATCAGCTCTTCGCTGGTCTGGTCACCATCGCCTCATTCATGCATTGCACGTTCATTCACTCAGCGTTCGGCAGCCTTGGACCACAACAGTGACAAAGCACTGGCGTTTAAACAAAGGGAGAGGGAGCCCTGTGCAGTGAAGCCTCCACATGAGGGGCTCCTTGGTGCCCCCGTGGGTCCCCCACCGGCCCTTCCCCCAGCACACGTGCTGCCCCCACTCCAAGGAGCATCCCCCTTGCTCCCCACTTCTGGGTTCTTCCACCTGCCTCCTGCCCTCGCTCCTCCCAGTAGCTCCTCCCCTCCTCTGAGAACCGGCCTCCATGCCACCTCCTCCAGGAAGTCCTGCCGGTGCCCACAGTGCAGGCTGCCATGCCCCCACCGGGTCTCTCACGTACTGGAGGGCCCCTGACCTGTGAAGGTGTCTCCCACTCAGCTCTGGGAAGGTCAGAGGCGGGCTGGGGCAGGGCTGTGGCCCCAGCCCGGCACATGTAGACATGGGCAGATGCCTATGGTAATTAATGAATTAAGAAGAACAGGGGCTGGGGATTTAGCTTAGTGGTTCTGCCGCCTGCCCTGCAAGCGCAAGGACCCGAGTTCGATCCCCGGTACCAAAACAAAAACAAAAAACAAAAAACAAAGAAGAGTAAACACACCTGGAATCCCAGCTCTCTGGGAGACTGAGGCAGGCGGATGGCAAGTTTGAGTCCGCTTGGGCAACCTAGTGAGACGCTGTCTCAAAACTAATTTCAAAAGGGCTGGGGACGCAGCTCAGTGGTAGAGAGCTTTCCGAGCATGGGAGCCCTGGGTTCAAACCCCAGCATCACACGAGCAAAAAGGTGGAGGGAACAGGACATTTCCCTGGAGCGAAGGGTGGGCGTGGAGGGACCTGGGACTCCACGCTGTGACCTGGGGAGGTGGGCACTGAATCAGGAGGTTCATGTCCTTCTCCTGCCCTAGGCGGATAGACGAGTTCTACCTACCCAAGTTCTCCATCTCGGGTGACTACCAGTTGGAAAGCATCCTCCCTGAGCTGGGCATCAGGGAGGTCTTCTCCCCAGAGGCAGACCTGTCAGGAGTCACGGGGGCCCAGGACCTGCAGGTCTCCCAGGTGAGTCTGCCTCAGGCAGTCTGTCCTCCACACCTGAATGTGAATCTTAAGGGGGCGCTGGGAGACTGGGTGCAGAGAGCTGCATTTCTCAGTGCCCCGTTGCCCGCCCGGGATACCCCAGACCCACCCCGCTCCTCCCCCTGTGTTGACAGCTCGTCCCTGGCCCCCCACAAGGTCGTACACTCTGGAGCCTGTGTTGAGGAACCTTTGGGCTTGGGATCAGAGAGCTGTTCACACTGCCAGGCTCTGCCCCGGGGACAAACACTGAGCCTTCCACCCTCGGCTTTGTCATCTGTAAAATGGAGGCCGTGTGTACCTGGCTGGCAGGACAGGTGGCAGTAATAGGTAACAGTGCACCTACACAGCTATGGTGACAAAACCGTGCTGAGTATGGAGAAGGGGACCTGGGACTCGCTGACTGCTTTCCAGAGGCACAACTGTCAGAGCAGAGTGGTAGCCGTGTCCTCGGTGAGAGCCCAAAGGCCCTGCTTGGGTCTGCACCATTTTCCAAGAGTGTAGGAATGGGGCCCTGTGCCGATGGGGACCAGCTCGGCCAGGGTGCAGAGCTGTGTCCTGTGCAGTCAGGACAAGCCCAGGGAAGCCGGGCCGGGGCGCTGCCTATAATCCCAGCGCTCTGGGAGGCTGAGTTGCAGCCCACCCAGAGATGGGGCCTGGGGATGTAGCTCTGTGTGAAGATGCTGACAATTCTCAGTACAAAAACAGAAACGCCCAAGGAGGTGGGAGCAGGAGAGATGCTGGGACCCACGCTGGCTCCCTCCTGTGGGGGCTGCCGGGAGATGCTTGCTGGGGAGACGCAGGATGCTGTGTGCTGCCTCTGCCCCTCCTCCTGGCAGTAGATTGTTGGGGGGCAAAGCAGGCCATGCACTCGGAGGACCAGGTCGGGGTGCCTGTATTCGCCGCTGACTCTGAGCCTCGATCTGCACACCTGTGCGAGGGATGGAGCGGAATGGACAGGCACATTTAGGGGCACAGGACAGGCCCGGGCCGTCTCCTCACCCCTCTCCTGCCCTCCTGGTCCCCACGCGCCATGCTCTGTTCTCCCCACAGATCTTCCACAAGGCTGTGCTGGATGTGGCTGAGAAGGGCACAGAAGCCGCCGCCGCCACAGGAATAAAGTTTATCCTGACATCTGGGAAAATAGACCCAGTGATCCTGAGCTTCAACAGGCCCTTTCTGATGGCCATCCTGCCCACAGGGATGGACAACACGCTCTTCCTGGGCAAAGTCACCAACCCCAAGCAAGCCTAGAGCTCCCCACTGAGGGGCTCTGGTGAGGAGCCAGGGAAGAGGTTCCAGTGAGCGTCCAGGCCTGCCTGGTCTGTGCCTACTCGGAGGGTGCTGGGACTACCTGTGCTGATCTGCACACACAGGGAGCCTTCCAACGGCTTCTTCCGAGGCCTCCTGACAGCAGCAAGCCACCTTCCCAGACGCTTTCCTGTGCTTCCCTGCTGAGCGCCTGCCTCCCTGACGTCTGCCTGTGCCCCAGAGCCAAGGCCCCGACCTCCCAGGGCCACATGAGCTCTGGCCGAGCCCACCTGAGCCTGGGGCCCAGGACTAGAGCCCTCTCTTGGCCCCAGTGCCACCCTCCACCTTTCCCTCACCAGGACCAGGCTCCGCCCGCTGCTGCCTCCTGCAGGGTCTCTGGCCATGTCCACGTATAGCTCAGGCCCCGGGCCTGTGAGCACAGTTAGAGGGAGACATGGGAAGGGATGGTATAGGACATGTCCGGAGTGGCCGCCAGGACAGCGCGCCCCATTGCTTGGCAGCTGTTCCTCGAATTTGCAAGCTCAGAAATAAACCTGCCTCGAATTACCTTCACTTGCGACTTCCCTTTCGCCAGGGGCCTGAGTTCCTCTTTCTCTGCTGGGGTCTTGGGCTCTGAGCCAACCTCGCCTCCTTTCCCCATTTTCCCTTGGAGTGAAGGTGAGGAATCTGGACAGAGCACGGGTGGGGGGGGGCAGGGCGTTGCTGAAGACCCCTGGCCCCTCAAGACCACCTGCCTGATGCTACAGGCCCCTCGCTTCGGCAGCTGAGTGCAACTTGCGGGTATGATCCCACTTCTGGCCCAGTACCCCGACCAGGGAGCAGTAGCTAGTTTCCGAGTTCCAGGCTGAGCCCCCAATCTCCTCTCCATCAGAGTTCTTGCCTGCCTGATAGTCCCTTCAGCACCAGAATGCAGGATAGGAAAACAACACAGAGTGACCAACACAGAGCAGCTGACAACGGACCAGGGTCCTCCCCTCTGCCGACACCCACAGGTGCATGGCCTATAGGGAGGACAGCGACAATGCAATTGTCACCTACCTCCAAGGTTGTGTAGCTGTGTGCAGACTGCACCCTCAGAGAAACCTTCTAGTCTCTGCTTCTAGTCTCTGATGATCTATGACCTAGATCAGTGGTGGCAAACCTATGGCCTGCACGCTGCAGTGGGCTGTCTGTTGTAATTGAAAGCTCTAAAAAGTTTGCAATCACTGACCTAGATGGTATTCTTAGTCCTGTTTAATATATAAGGAAACTGAGGCACAGAGAGACCTAGTTAACTCCCCCAAGGGCACACAGCTCATTACTGTCGGCAGGATGTTATCCTAACCAGCTCAATGCCGGAGGATAGCTCTTAACCACAAAGGGAGTCTGCTCCAAAAGATTTCCCCAGCGATGGCACCCATGGGACTTACAACTGGGTGAGCAAACTGAGGATGAAATGAGGCTCTGGAAGCCTTGAGCAGGCACTGAACTCAGTCTGGTAATCAGGAAGGCTTCCTGGAGGAGGCGACATCAGAGCTAAGATCAGAGGCAGATGAGGAGGTGCGTGGGTGATCAGAAAGCAGATGATAACAGCAGAGAAAAAGCAAAGGGGTGTTTTCAAACATCCCAAAGGAGGCAGGTGGCTGGAGAGCACAGGGCAAAGGGGCTGCAGAGGGGGTGAGCCTGGCATAGGGAGGATTCTGTGATGGTACCCTAGAGCCACAGGGGGTTTTGAAGGGCTGTGAACAGAGCTGATGTGACCACATCTTTGCTCTGAAAAATGAAGTCTGTCCAGTCAAAGACAAGGATGGGGTTGCTGCAGGGAAAGAAGGGAGGAGAAAGGGAGGAAGGGAGGGATAATTAGGATCAAGGGCTGCGCTGAGGGCCTTCGTGACAGCGTGCAGGGAGAACAGGAGAACAGGCTGTATTTGGGTATTGGCACCTGAGTGACAATGAAGCACTGTCTGAGACAGGAAATGTAGTAGGAGGTGTGTGTGTGTGTGTGTGTGTGTGTGTGTGTGTGTGTGTGTGTGTGTGGTGCATTCAGTGACATGCCTGGGTCTGGTGGAAGACATCAGGCCTGAAGTTAGGAGAGAAGTGTGGGCTGCAGGAAAGCACTCAGGATTCCTCTCTCTCCCTCAGAGTGTCAGCCAGCTTTGTGTTGCTGTGAGAAAATACCTGAGATAAACAACTTAAAGGAGGGAAGTTTTGTTCGGGCTCACAGTTTCAGAAGGTTCAGTCCATGACCATCTGGTTCCATCATTTGGTCGAAAGTGAAGCAGGACATCATGGTGGAAAGTGTGGTGGAGCAAAACTGCTCACCTCATGGCAGCCAGGAAGCAGAGAGGGTGAGATAACATTGAGCCAAGGAGGGCATAAGACCTTCCTGTGAGTCTGTACAGGAGTGCCTGGGAGCCAGTCTCCAAAACTACTATGTCTAAGGAATGAGAACAAAGAAGCGAGAACTCCCAAAGAGATGGAAAAGGACTGGGAAGAGGCACAGAAGGAAAAGGTGGTGAGGGGGAGAAAAGAAGGGCATCTTGGTATGAGTTAGACAGAACCATAGCTGGGATTTGGTAACTGGCAAGGGCACCTGTGATGGAGACATGAGAGCAGAAGGCAGATTGCAAAGGGTTTCCAGAGGAAGGAGTGGTGAAATACGGTACAGCAAGGGTAGACCTTTCTTTCTAGAAATTTAACATCATGAGGTTAATTATAAATTGATGAGAAACTCACAAATGTCTTAAAGGAATTGTGTCAGCTTGACATGAAAATCATAGAGATAGTAAGAAACTAAGAGACCTCTGGACCCTCAAACTTTTACAGGCAGAAAACTTCTGTCCAAAGTGTCAGGCTGCAAAAAATTCTCAGGGGCAAACATGGGCCGCACATTAAAGACAAGGAAGCATAATTCAGGAGGCAAAAGCAGGTTCCCAGAGGGCAGATCCACGGCCACAAGGGATTATCACTAGCTTACAGACTGAGTAACAGGTGCCTTTGTGAGCTTCAGAATTTCTAGGGACAAGTGACTGCTGGGTGCATCTTGTTTTACTCTCTTTGAACAGGTGAGTCTATAGCAGTTACCTTAGGGCTATCTTTTTATTATATACTGGTCATGTGGGAACAGATAATGTCTCTTGATGTTCATCAGACTGAGAGAAAAAGTATTCAGGAAACTATACCTAAAGAGTCCAAAATGCACCCTGGGTTTGGTGTAGACAGTGAGATTTGGGATAGTAAGCTGATGTCCCAGTGGGATGAGACAAGGTTTGGAGAAAGAAACATAAGCATTTGTTTGAGGAACAGATATGAACTATTACAGCCAGGGAGCAGACTGAAGAAGACTGTGTTTTTCCAGTGTCAGCCATAACTATATCTCTCAACCCACACACTCCTATTACAATACAACCTTGCCACTATTTCATTAAGAGCTAGGATCAATGTTCTCTGCCCTTCACCCTGAGTGGACCTTTGGACCATCTCAAACCATGAAGTATGACATGTGATACTATTTGACCTCCAAGATCAGATGATGAAAGGTGACCCAGCTTTCACTTGGCTCCTTCCCTCAGAAACTTGGGAGCGGTGATGTGACATGAAAAAGTCCACCCACTCTGATCTCACCATGCAGGACCCACCACATGCAAGACCACTCAGACACAGAGAGGCTGTGGTGCCTGGGAGCTCCCGTCCCCAGGTGTCTGACTCTTCCAGGCTGAGCACAGAGGCATGGAATTTGAAATGACAGAGCAGCCATTGAACTGCGAAATAACAGAGTTAGGTATATTTTTAACTAAAACACAGGAAATACAAGGACATCTGGACAAAACTACAAGGAAATCTGGATAAAAGTACAATGATCATGGGAGTGAAATAAACATTAAATATGTATTTCAGAAATTGATGTATTAAAAAGTCAAAAATAGAAAATGCATAAATTAATTTAGTAGTGCAATTGATAAATTGGACTTAATATGTATTTTTATTTCTCTTTAATAGCAAAGTAAGACATCTTATATCCATAGTAAATTTTTAAAATTATTTGTGAACACAGTTAAGAAGAAAACTTTAACAACTTTTAAAAAGTTTTTATAAACCATATTCTCTTACCTTCAATGAAGAAAAATACAAATGCATTATTAAAAGATCACTAACAAATTCTAGGATGTTTAGGAATTAAAAGCATCTTCCTTCCATTACATTACATTGTGATGTAATAACGATGGAAAAACTATCCTGAAACAACTGGAAAACTGGACAATATATATGAAACAATGGGATAAGACATTGAATAATAGGTCACGGGGGGGGGGACATCCTCCCCAGTAGAAGAGTGACAAACAAGGAAGGCAGGCACTACTATTGCCAGACTGACTCCCTGGAGGAAGTTTTTAGACTTCAATTCAGAAGCAGGAAAATGAAAGAAAGCCAGACAGTCTTCTTGAGATGCAAAGACAGATCTCAGAATTCAGGAGCCCAAGGTGGCTAGAATTTCTAAGGTAGAATAGCAAAGATGCAGATGCTGACATAGACAGTGCTCCAGAGATCTGGAGAGAGGTCAGCTCAGGTCTTTGGCTGAGTACTGATCTTTGCATGTATGTGAGGAATCTACTGAGCTCAAGGGAAGAACCACTAAAAGAAGCATGGTTGGGAATGATTCATATTTACCAGTGGTCAGAGTGGAAAGATGAAGGTAAAGCCATCAAAATTAAAAGTAAGGCCAAATTAGTCCAGAACCAAAGGTCACTCTAAATCTGCTTTTTAAAAATCTTAAAAGCAAAGCAGTCTTCTGGGAACATGGCGGAGTGGTGAGCAGCAGAGAAAGAGCCTCTCAGAGAGATTTGGTGTCCTAACACTGGAATATAGTGGTGTGAGGAGGAGAAGAAAATGGGAAGTGGGTCCTGGGACCCAGGAAGGATCTGAAGTGAGAATTGAAGCCCACAGGGAGATTGAAGAAAGAGACTGTCATGAAGAGGAAGGAGATGGCAGGCAGCCTGTTCTCCTCGAGCCCAGAGTCACTGCATGGGAAGAGTAGCTCAAACCTGCAGATGCATAGTGACTACTGGCAGCCCCAGAGGACTCTACAGAGAAACGCACACATGGAACAGACTAGTGGATGCAGTGGACTGCAGCAGCTGGTGAGTTATTTGGGTTCAGACATTCCCCCAGGAGAGGTCGATTGGCCAGTAGCCATCTTGGAGAGGGACAAACTGAACTCGGAACTCAGAACAGCTGTGGGCAGGCTCCATCTAGTGGCTCCCAGTGTCGAGGCTGCTTAGTTCAGGTCAGCAGGGAGCCAAGTCCAAGCTTGCAGGAGGCACACAGACTGTTGCAGGCTCAACAAATCCAGTTCCAGCCTTGCAGCCAGAAACCAGCCTGAACTTCAGTGGTACTAAAGTTGCAGCCTTGCTGAGATTATCCACTACCCCACCATAAAGCTATTGCTGGCTTACTGGGATTAATCAACTCAGATCTGGATTCTGTCTTCCCATGTTGTCTACCGGTCATGAAAGAGACAAGCCTTGAATTGGACTTTTTTTTCTTTTTCCTCTTTTTTTTCCCCTTTTCTGGTT